CTAACGCGTAATTAAATAGTTATTTATTAGTTAGTTATCGTATATACAATAATAGTCATCTGTTTTACTAGCATATCGTCGTCCGCTGGAATAAATCTCCTTTGTGAAAAAACGCTATTTTTCGGTAGAAACAAAACAGTTATTTGTAAATCAGCTATTATTCTATTTTATTAAAAAATACTTTCAAAGTGTTCGAGAAATAAATAATATTTTATTATTTTAAATTCTGTTATAATATATACTTTATTTATAATGATATTTAAAGAATTAAATTAATAAAATGATATTTTTTTATCTGAGAGGGGACATAGGAGATTTTAAGTTATTACATCTTTATAAAATGTTACACAAGATACAAGATATTTTATGAAAAATATTAAACACAAATTAATAATAATACAAAATTAACTTATTTATTAAACAAAATATACCTACCTTCAGTCCATTAAAATGAAAAACAAAACAATAAAATATTATAACAATGTATATTACATTAAAGAGTATGAAATATAAATATTATTTTTATGAAACATATTAAATAAAATATAAAAATAATATTTTATTTAAATTTCAAATGAACAATATTATTGTACTTCCAGGGTAACACAAGCTTCTAGTTCTGAATAAAAAACTAATTGTGCAGTTACATGATACTTTTTTTGCTCGTAACTGATATCACGCTAGTTCGTCAATAAGTTTAAATGTTTCTACTTTACTCACAAACTAGTTTTCTATCAAAACAGTTAACTAGTTTACTATTTGCTAGTAAACCAGAATTGTGTAAGTCACGCTTAAAACATTTTGGCAAGTTAAAAATTAAGTTGCTTTTTTAGCAAACAGTTCTAGCAACCAGTTCGATATAGGTTTCGTTACCAAAATATGTATATTGTACAATATATTGCGGTGTTCGCAAACTGTATGGAATATAATAGAGAACCACTGCCACTGAGCACTTAAAAAAAAAGACAATACATTATTTAGGGATTTACCGGTATCAAGTGGGTATCCTCGTTTACGCTCCTTAGGCGACACATCGTATTGCATAGCAATGTATTGGCGCGCGCACTGATTTGGACGAGAGATTAACCGTCATGCGATGAGGTGAGCATACAACCCAACCGTAATAACCAGAAGGCACCAAGAACGTGATGTTGGTAATGACGGATTTCGTATTGCCCGTCGATCGTGCAACGGGGTTTCGGTGGTGGGCGGATGCGCGGTGCCGCGAAGACGGGATACAAACAAAAGCATAAAGGCCTCGGCGTAATCCTAGCACATATAAAATACAACGAGATGAAGAATTCTGCCGCCACCTTCTCGTGTACAACAACGTGGACGATAGAATTCCCATGGGATGTTTGCCGTTCGTTGTTTTACATCTAGTCTTGTTTTGTTTTTGACTTTTGTCTTGGTTCGTATACATTTGTTCATTTACATACATACATATATATATATATATATGTATGTATGTATGTATGTATACATAATATCATATATACACATAAAGCAATGCGCGTGACAATACTATACTACGCGCCGCACGTCTTTCGCGAAACTTTCTCCGGTCGTCGTCATCGACAGTCGCAAAACTCGCGTCGTCTGGGGAACCGTTGCGAGTATCATACAGACGTTTCGTTTTGCAATTTATCAAACGCAGAACGAAAAAAAAAACAGTTGAAACGTATAGCTGCGGGTTAGGTCGGACACACTCGAGTTGGGTCCCAGATTTCAAAAACAGCATGAATTGGGTCCGGACGTATTTTATGGAGAACATGAGTTGGGTCCCAGTATATTTTATGGAGTACATGAGTTGGGTCCCGATATATTCTAGCCTATTAGCGTTACCCAGAAGACACCACGAGGAGATAGGCTAGAATGTCTCCCAAAAATGTTGTTTTTTGTTACGTTAAGGTAACGGTCTGATGTAAAGATTATTAAAATATTAAAATTATTATTAAATATAAGACACTTTTTTTTTTTTTGTTACTTATATTGCTTTTTTTTTTATCGAAAATATTTGTACTATTTTAAACTAGGCAATAAATTTAAAGGACACATATTTTATAAAATTTAAGTGGCTCAATCCTCCACTAGTAAAACTAAGCATCTTTTCTCGTAAAAAATTTTCTTTTTCTACTCTTTTGATTGGCTGTGTGGCTAAGCTCCGAAGTGATACGTAAATTTCACTCTGGATCCCAAGTAAAATTTCTATTAAAACAAAAATGTTAGGATGAACTGCATTAAAACTAGCATTTAATTTTGCATGAAAACTTTCACAACTATATGTGGTGCGATTTATGGTTGCTGTAAACTCGGCCGAAATATTAGGAAAAAATAATGCATCTTGCTCAAAATATGTTTTTAGAAGATAATCATAAAATTTATCGACGTTTTTATTAATTGGTTTGACAGTCATAAAGTCATCAATAAAACAATTAAACACCTCCTCTAGTTTCAAAAATGGTAAACCAAAAACACACTTAAGATAGTCACTTATATCATTATCGAAACGTTTATACGCTTTTGATAGCCCAAACTGTTGAATTTTTCAGCACCAACAAATAATAAAATTATAAGTATTTATTTAATTATAAATTTATTATTTGTATATTTAATACTTCACAGAACTTATTTATAAAAACATAAAATTATATCTCAAATATATTGTATAATATAAGTATTTATTTAATTAGATTTATATTATTATTCCATTAAACCTATTGATAGGTTACTTATAGCCCCCTCCCCTCTCTCTCTCTCTCCTAGTAGACATTTCCTTTTTTTATTCTTATCCACTTTGGGTTATCTCACTCCCGATTCAAATCTTATCCTTAACTCTCCCTCTACCCATGTCATCAATTCCATCATTCATTTTAACATTTCCGCTGGCTTCTTAAATTGATTTGTATGTTTTTTATAAATTTGAATCTTTTCACCATATAATTGTATAACTGTATTGTCCTCAACAATAGCGAATTAAAAAAAAAAAAAAAAGTAACTTATAACCTATAAGATAAGTAAATTAATTAATGTTTTACTATCTTCAATGTTATTATTTAATTGGGTGAATTGAAACATTTCATGTTCTTTATTTATCATCCTGAAATCATTATTCATTACTAATTCTTACATGTTTTGTTCCGAAAAATTATTTTATTGATAGTCTATCGTCCATAAATATTAAATTTTTAAATATATAGGTAACCATAATTTCTTAAATATTATGAAGTCGGCAAATTTAATTAGTTACCCCACTCTTTCAAAAGTTGAAATGATGCCCCTGGTCTAGAACAAGTAAATACGCTGTCTCCAATGTTATTTGATTTGGCGTTGAAGAAAATAATTAGAGAAATTTAGAAAGAGCCAACGGGTATAACAATAGGGGAGCGAAAAATTTAGGTGCTTGGATTTACGGATGATTTAAATATTTTGAGAAACTTGTTAAATCACACCAAAAGAGCAGCCCAAGTTTTGGAACAAGCAGCTTGTAAAGTAGGATTAAAAATCAATAGAGAAAAAACGAAGATAATGAAACTATTAGAAAATGAAGAAAATGAAGAGAATACGGACAATGATGATGGAACAGTAGTTTTTGAAAAAGTTAACGATTTCCAGTATTTAGGAGCCATGTTGAGTATCAAAAATTATTGGTCAAGAGAGATCGGAATAAGAATATCAAAGGATGAAAGGGCAGCATTCGCACTAAGTAAGTTTCTGAAATCAAAAGTATTCTCAAAGAAAAACACAAGGTTCTACATGGCTATAATATATCCCACGTTAACCTATGGATGCGAAACCTGGACAACTACTAGTAATACAGAAAGGAAACTAAGGACATTTGAAAATAAAATATGGAGAATAATTTGCGATCCTGTCTATGATAATAGAACAGGTGGGTGGAGAAAAAAATTTAATCGAGAATTACAGGATGAATTGGAACTGGCACCAGCCACTAGCTTCATAAGTGGATAACGAATACAATGGCTTGGTCATGTAATGCGCAGAAATGAGGAAGAGACGGTTAGAATGGTGCTGGAATGGAGGCCTACGGGAAAGAAACTTCGTGGACGGCCTAGAAAAAGATGGTTGGATACAATGGAAGAAGACCTCAAGAAAATAGGAGTATGAGAGTGGAGGATAATAGTTCATAATAGAGAAGAATGGAGACAGATCGTGTTAGTGGTAAAAACTCTTCAAGAGTAATAAATTCCAACAGAAGAAAACAGAAGAAGAAGATGACATTGAATCCAATCGCTGTGTTACGCGATCACATTTCATTATATATAGTTCTATTCGAAGTTTAATGACGATCTAACCGTCCCGCAGTGTTTTATTACTTCCAGCCCGGACGAGACACGTTTCGATGTCTTTAAGTCTACACCACACACCATCGCCGCCATTACAAACCGTTTTGTTTTACGTACAAAGTTTACTATCGCAGTAGTTGGCGGTATTTTTTTTTTTTTTTTTATTTTGCTTTAAACCGTTCAACGCAATTAAAAGCTATTTCGTCCGAATTGACTCTCGGTCCCGACGCATTTCAAAATACCAGACCTTAATGAGGAGGGTTATGCGGCGGCCGACAGTCGAGTGTCGACATTAATTTGTCTTTGCAATTTATACGTTACCAGTCTTAAAAGGAAAATAGTAATTAATATTGATTAAGTTCATCAGTCCCCTATATCTTTCTTTCATTCGCTTTCTCTCTCTCTCACATACACGCATATTTCCTTCCTCTTATTCGCTCTCTTCCACTCTCTTATCCTTCTTTTTTTCTACTGTTTTATTAATGCGCTGCGAGAATTGCGCGACGTACGTTATCGTTATAAAATAAATTATACTTTATTCTATTTTACTTTAACTGACAAGATTCATTTTTTTTGCAAATGTCTAAAAATATCGCATGACGATTTGGTGGAGTCATCATATACATATAAAGTTCAAAATAAATAGTCATTGTATCGATTAATCACGGTGTGTTTTTTTGTTTTGCGTTCCAGGCGATATGGTCATAACAAGTGACAAATACCAAACGACTAGTACCCAGAAGTCTATATTCGAGGATCAAATGGTATTAACCATCAAATCGGTGGAGAGACACGACTTGGGATCGTACAGGTGCATAGCGAAGAACTCGCTTGGTGAGGTGGAAAGCAACATTAGATTGTACGGTAAGCTGTAATATTAAAATACGTTTATTAGTCGAAAGACTGGTATGAAATGGAAGTGTCATGAATAATTGAAGGGAGGGAACACATTTTTGTTTGTTATGAGACATTTGTATTTACTCTCAAAACCTTTCGTGATACCTATCTTAAACTTTTCTGCAATAGAATAATGCATACTTCGCAATAACTGTTTAGTATGTGGTTCAATAACAAACTATTGAGTAAGTCAACTTTAACCGTAACACCGCGCGGTTGAAACAAATACATATGATTAGTCGCGTTTGTAGTTATGGACTTGTTCAAAGTTTGACCATGTTTTAAGGATATCTTACCGACTTCGGTAGGGGACGGACGGACAAGGTGACAAGTAAACGCGACGTTAATGTGTCTATCTGTACACTGTACATGATATAATTAATCTTATCCGACCGCGGGGACTTGACCCCATACTTATTCAAATAATTACACATTTATAATGTCGAAAACGGACACGGAACGTGAACGTTATACAACCGACCCTAGACGCAGAAGAATAGCTAATCGAAAACGAATACCCATCGGAAAGGCAGCAGCGCGCTTTGTACGTTTTCGAGATAAAAACTATTATCTCTCTAAATCATTACCTACATAATATCCGTTCCACGTGTTATCAGAGGTGGAACTAGGAATTTTTACGCCCTATCATAGACCAATAATCAAATACTCTTCTCGAGAATTTTTTTCTAATAATTAATATACAATCATACATATTGAGTTTTAACCTAATAACAGTTATTTAACAAAGTTAAAAATATCAAATTAGTTAATAATTACAAAAATTACACCCTCTACAATTTTACGCCGGGAGATGAAACCCCGTCTTCCACCGCCTAGTTCCGTCCCTGATCACGGCAAGCCGGCACATTCTTCGCAACCGGTGCGTTTTCTAATACTAGGCCGTGAGCGCCACTAACAGCGAACTCTCGTTTGCCAATGTGCAGAGATACGGGGCCTGGACGATGCCGCGGACGCGGAGAACGGTGACCTGTCGGACCTTTACCAGGAGGAACTGTACACCGAGACTCACCATCACCACGCCGGCGGGAACGGAATTGGTGACAACCGGAACCGGACCAAGCACCGACATCACTTGGACGCGTCGCAACAACCGCCCGCCAGTCCCAGCGCATCCATCCGCCTGGTGCCGCCGTTGTACCGCACGTTCAAGTATCTCTGACACGTGGCGGCCGTCTGGTAAACACGCTCTCCAAGCTGTTCGGTGCTTACCAGGCGAATATCACTCGCTCGACGAGCACGTCACTCGCCGGTCTCGGTACGCCCTGCGCGCGTTTCATCGTTATTATATCACGTCGACGATCGGTTATATTATTATTATTATTACTGTTTAATGTTATTAGTACAATATTATTATCTCGTAACCGGGGCATGATCGGGTCGTAGAAGAAAAAACTGATCGTTCTGTCACCACGGCCGTTCATAGTAATAATCGTTCCGTAACGACGCCCACGAGTGTATATATTATCTTGGAGACTGCGAGTAAATAAAGCAGCATATAACAATAATCTAGCGTGAATAATAGTAATAGTAACAATAACAGTAGTAATAATAATAACAACAATAATAAGAATAATAACTGTTACTGAAACGTAGTCCGGATGTGGCGATGTCGTCTCATACACCCTCTATCTGCTGCAGTTCTACCGGTCACAGCTATCCCGACCCACCACCAACGTCCTTTGCAACCCTCTAGATCGGTGTTTATTCGTCCGACAGAGATGGTGGCGGTGGCGGGCAGTGAAATTACGTGGGCTTAAAGACGTTTTATCGTTTTGTAAGTTTTATCAATTCTCCGGAAACGCCCCAAACGTTAATCCACTCAGGTACTGTAAAACGCACATCTCGACCAGACGATGTTGCCCGCAACTCTCACTTCCTCCCTTCCACCTGATGACCGTTATTGCGGCGATAATAGTAATGCAATTTAGCCGCGCCTACTTCGAGAGTCGTAATGAAATTATCCCGACAGTCTCGTCCACGGGACAGACAACATACCCTCTTCCCGTTACACGCGCATGTCGTAGGTATATACGATAAAATGTGTACGTTACACGTTGAAAACGTCGTTGCGAATATATTATACATGTCGCACATACTGTGTACGATAATATTATTATTATTATTACTGTAACAATACTATACGATTATAATACGTTATTATTACTATTACTATTTTTCTTATTATTTTTATGTGTACGTCGGTGTCATGCGTGCGATTATGTTGTTTTGCGTTGGTACGACTTTGAATAGAAAAAAAATAATATATTAAAATATTATATCGATATTAATGTGAAACAAAAAAAAACTTATAATAATAATATACGATTCAATTAAATGATTTCCATATACGATTTAATGGTTTTGAATTTTTTTTTTCATCCCTCCCCCCCCAAACGCTGTCCGTTCGACCGTTAAATGCTTACACTCGATACCTGTTAAATTATATTTCTGCAAAGATAACACGGTGGTCGTCATCATTAAACCAATGACTGTTAAGCAGGATGAGCGCTATAAAGCTATTTAAATCGATCAACAATAAAAACAGTATGTGAAATCGAAATTAAAAGCCGATGGCCCTGTTGGCTTTTCATTAAACATTTTATGTGTGGCCACTCAATAAAACTGTATAGTTGTGCTGCTTTTTATACACCACTATACACCACTATCCACGTTGATAAAAACGAAGCCAAACACACACACTACATAAACGTTTACAGCATGGCTTTAAAATGTTATTTATAACGTTTTAATGGGAAAAATGAAAAATAAATAAACAAATCAACGAATCAAGAAACGAAAAACTAAAATCATTGGTGACCAATAAATATATCAGATTATGAAATATAATTAAATATCTTATCACAGTTTTAAAAATATTGAATTAATTAGTATATTATTTATTTTTTTATTTCTGTAATTCGACTAATTATATGTTTATGAAGTTTATATTAAATGTAATCGGTGCAAAAATGCAGGCGTGTATATAATATAATTTCAAGTATGATTTAAGTTGTGAATAATTCATTAGTTACCTACCATTTGTTTATTGCAACAATATTTTATTTTTAACTAACGTTCATTTATTTATTATTCACACAATTATATTATTGTTTTTAGTTCTCAGAGTATCAGACAAAAAATATAATAATATTTTAATTTTTGTTTAAGTAGTAAATTAATAAATATTACTTCATTGATTGCTGAAGTGGTCAATACCTTGACTAACACTAACCTATCAGTTAGAAACATGGTAAATACTCTAAAATAACCTAATCTGGCTAATAATTTCTATCAATAACATAGTTTATACAATTTATACTTAGACTATAGTGAAGTTAATTATGTGGCTGTAAATAAACTGCGGCAAGAAAAAATTTAACATAATAAAAGCTGCATCAATTTATTTTATATATCTACCATATCGTATACTACGTATATACATATACTATGTATATATTACCTAAATCATAATATACCTATCTATATGTACCTATATACGTATATTGTTTCATTAATTATGTTATTTTGCGTCTTGTGTGTTGCTATGTTTTACTAACACTTATTTTTTATTCATATTTAAATTTGAATTTAAAATTGTTTGGCATTATTACATTTTTGCCATTTTGGCAAAACATTGTTATCAATTCCATTACGTTACATTAAATTTCAAACTTTTAACTACTTTTACAGACATTTAAAAATAGTAAATAGGTAATCTCTAGTATAATCTAAAGTTAAGGAACCGATATTTAGTATGTTTCATTAAAACTTAAAAATACATTTGAATTAGTTTACCATTTTGTAAGCAAGACGTGACTTAATATAATTAATTAAACGATATACATACATAGGTACACAAAGGTACATATTATATAATATATAATGTCGTAGGTATATAAAATAAGGGCGTCATTTCAACTTTTGAAAGGGTGGGGCAACTGATTAAATTTGCCGACTTCATAATATTTAAAAAATTATGGTTACCTATATATTTAAAAATTTAATATTTATGGACGATAGACTATCAATAAAATAATTTTTCGGAACAAAACATGTAAGAATTAGTAATGAATAATGATTTCATGATGATAAATAAAGAACATGAAATGTTTCAATTCACCCAATTAAATAATAACATTGAAGATAGTAAAACATTAATTAATTTACTTATCTTATAGGTTATAAGTTACTTTTTTTTTTTTTTTTAATTCGCTATTGTTGAGGACAATACAGTTATACAATTATATGGTGAAAAGATTCAAATTTATAAAAAACATACAAATCAATTTAAGAAGCCAGCGGAAATGTTAAAATTAATGATGGAATTGATGACATGGGTAGAGGGAGAGTTAAGGATAAGATTTGAATCGGGAGTGAGATAACCCAAAGTGGATAAGAATAAAAAAAGGAAATGTCTACTAGGAGAGAGAGAGAGAGAGAGGGGAGGGGGCTATAAGTAACCTATCAATAGGTTTAATGGAATAATAATATAAATCTAATTAAATAAATACTTATATTATACAATATATTTGAGATATAATTTTATGTTTTTATAAATAAGTTCTTTGAAGTATTAAATATACAAATAATAAAATTATAATTAAATGAATATAAGTATTTTATTATTTATATATTTATTACTTTACAGAACTTATTTATAAAAACGTAAAATTGTATCTCAAATATAATGTACCGTAGTTTGGCGTGAATAGAAACGATATTAACGGTTTTTTTATAGATTATGAGCTCAATTTTTATGGTATCAAAAACTGTTTTATAAAGGAACCATTGTTTCTCAACTTTTAATGAACAGTGAACGTGTATTTTAAAGAGAATATTATCAGATTTTTGAGTACAAAATAGTAAATAAAAATTTACTATTTACCGATTTTAGCATTTGATTATCGGACATAGGATTACCGACTTTTTAAAATTTCTTAAAGTGGGGCATTTGCCATAGACTGCCTCCCCAATGACACCCCTGATAGAAAATTCATTTCCGTAGCTTGTATAATGGTTTCGTCGCAAATTATACAATGTTAAATGAGTTCTTGCCACAGTTTACATATAGTTTTTAGAAAAAGACTAATTTTTCCACAATTTTTTATCTTCTAATTGTACCCTAAATGACAGTAAAATGTATTTAAAAAAAAGTTTCAATTTCATCTTTATTTTTATATCATAACAGAAAACAAAAAATTAAAAGAACATTTAAAAATATAATAACATAAAACGGAAAAAATTAAATAATAATTCGACGGACAATATCTCTAAGCACAGAAATTGTATAACGTTAAAATACACGAAAACATAAGAACATTATATTTGTTTTAAATCTGAGCCCTAGTTTACAGATCTTTGCCGTGCCTAGGACACTCTGCAATCAAGTATTTTCAGGTACGTACATTTATATTTGTGTGAATTCTGTTTTTTTTTCCAATTTAACGATTACCTTTGAAATATTAATGTATCGTACAAGCGATCATATATCAGTTATCTTACCGCCGGCGCACAGTGGGCGGAATTTCGAAAATAGGTGGAAAAAATATAATTTTCACCTATCGTATAATTGCTTTTATCTTTTACAATTTGTTTATTATATTACTATAGTCAAGATAATATAACCCCTATCTGTAGTAATTAAGATATAATAATATTTAACAAGCTTCAAATTGTAAACGATAATCTGCGATAGGTTAATTGTTGATCTGTCGTACAATATTTTGAGTTATTTGCGTTTGACTTTTCGAGTTGTAAGAGTCATTTGATTTCTGTATTATATATTTTATTTAATATGGATGATACTAAAGAAGGTGTGTTTGAATTAATATTTTATGTTTATAAATTTAACCACCCATTTGGTAGTATTATAAATTACCAATGTAACATTTTACGTTTAATTTTAAATATTTTAACTTTGATAGCAGTTTAAAAAAAATGGTCAAAATTGACCTCTGAAAATACTATGCTAAATTATTCTAAAGTTCATAAAATTCAATTAAACATATATTTTATTTGCTCTTCATTGTTTCTATCAAAGTAATAATTATTTTTGTTAGGTGTCATGCGTAGAGAATTGTTTGAATTTTTAAAAAAAAGTATGCTATGGACACGGCAAAACTTTACATAGAACACTATAACTGGTACTATATGCCGGCTAGTGTTCATAAAATTTTATTACACAGTACTGATGTTATAAAACATTGCTTACTACCAATTGGACAACTATCTGAGGAAGCCTCGGGAGCAAGAAATAAGCATTATAAATCTTTTCGAGAGCATTTCACTCGGAAAACCAGTCGAATTGATACAAATATTGATCTTCTTCATCGTCTAATTGTTACTACTGATCCGGTTATATCATCAATACGGCCACATCCTTCTAAAAAAATGATGTCATTATCCTCCAAAGTGTTGACTCTTTTAACTTGTTCGAATTCAATTACTTCCGAAAAAACGGTTATGATTACCGACTCAAATTTTAAATGAAATAGTGTATTGCATGTTAAATTTGTTTAATGTTTTTTTAGTATATGGCTGATAAATTATAAAAAAATCTTAAATGTTATTAAAAACTTGTACTGTAACGTTATAAGTACATTAAAACATTTAAAAATAAATATATTACATTTGTTATTTGTTTCCAGCTATTTTCGAAATTCCGCCCACTGTGCGGCGAGGGTAAAATGATGTACTTTTATTTGAAACAGAAGTTTTTCATTGACTATATTGTATTATGTTACAACTGTTAAAAATTCTAATCATTGTAAATATGTTAGCTAAACAATAAAGGACCGTCAACAGTCACTAGTTGAAATTTTTGAGATCCTAATACTTTAAGTGTCAAAATCGATAGCTTAAAACTAAATTAAGTCAATACAATTACATGTTATTAAATAATACATTTAATTTGTAACTATAATTCCACGAGTTAGTAACTATCGGTTTTTATTTCACAAATGTGTTATTTTACTACTTTGCAAAGTTTTTGCTCCAATTAGGTTGAGTTGTATTATAAAAGAGAGAAGACCGAAGAATAAGGAGTTCTTTGGTGGTAGACGTGTAAGTCATCGAATAATGAGTTTAATAATGTGATTATAATTTAAATTTTTATGTTAGGTTTTTTACAGTTATCATGGTACTACTATAAGACGTTATTTAAAGTGTACTGCATTTACTTCATATGTGTGGTAACACTTTACAATATCACTCCACTGTCGCCATTTTAAGTAAATATAATATTGTAGTATGCGTTTTTATCTTTTATGCGTATTAAAAAAATATGGTATAATAAATATATTATAATTAGTTAAAAAAAAAAATACCATAACTCATATTTATGTAATAATTTATTAT